TATTTCCTTAGGGAAATGTGCTCTTTCTTAAATCTCTGCAGACCCTTTTCTTTGTGGAAACCAAATTGTCAGTCTCTGTTTTGCAGCCAAATCCCCCATCCTGGGCCTGGAATATGTCTGGAAAAATATTTCTAGAGAATCCCCTGTCATAAATAGCATGGCGGGGGGAAGTATTCTATTTATCCTTCCTAAAAGGAAGAGCAGTAGGCTGAAAAAAGCTATGGAGAAAGGGCTGATCCCTTGTACTAGGGAGAGAAAACAATCTTCAGTGTGTGCTCAGGGTGTTACATGAAAGGCAAATTGAGATAAGAACAGAGACTCCTGATTTTAATCTCTGTATCCCTGCTTAGAGGGTCTTTGCTGTAGAAGTAAAAGTGCTGTGCTTCCGTGTAACGTCTCCTTGTTAAAAGGTGCATCACCACCAGCTCCCCAGAGCTTTTTGTTTTCTATGCATAAAGCCTTTCTGAAGATTTTTTTTCTTTGTGACCTGTTTATAGAGGGTGCTGTGTGCTGAGCCTCTCCCAGCCCTCTTGCAGCTGCTACAGCCACACCATATCCCATCTTTAGCCACACTGGCTTTTAAGCAGTCACATGTTAACTTTTATCAGGTTTATGTAGTTGCATGTGAATATCACTAGATGTCCTCTACTGCTAAGTAGCTTTATCGTAGTCTGTGCCAAGTACACAAAGAAATTCAGTGAAATGAATTTCAGCTGTTTAATCTGTCTTTTTTTTTTTTTTTATAGCTTCATTGCTCCTAGTCCATAGATGCACATCAATATTCCTCATCCATAGCCTAAAGGAGTGATCTGCTACCTCTGACTGACTGGACTTTCACTGACAGCAAAGCTATTGTATTTGTTTCATGCAGATTTGGAACCATCTGGCATGTCACAGAATCATAGAATCATCGAATAGTTAGGGTTGGAAAGGACCTTAAGATCATCAGGTTCCAACACCCCTGCCATGGCCAGGGACATCTTACACTAAACCATGCCATCCAAGGCCTCGTCCAGCCTGGCCTTTAACACTGCCAGAGATGGAGCATTCACAACCTCCCGGGGCAACCCATTCCAGTGCCTCACCACCCTAACAGGAAAGAACTTACTCCTTAAACCAATCTAAACTTCCCCTGTTTAAGTTTTAACCCATTACCCCTTGTCCTGTCACTACAGCCCCTAATGAAGAGTCCCTCTCCAGCATCCCTATAGGCCCCCTTCAGATACTGGAAGGTTGCTATGAGGTCTCCATGCAGCCTTCTCTTCTCCAGGCTGAACAGCCCCAGCTTTCTCAGCCTATCTTCATACAGGAGGTGCTCCAGTCCCCTGATCATCCTCGTGGCCCTGCTCTGGACTTGTTCCATGAGCTTCGTGTTCTTTTTATGTTGAGGACACCAGAACTGCACACAATACTCCAGGTGAGGTCTCACAAGAGCAGAGTAGAGGGGCAGGATCACCTCCCTGAGCCTGCTGGTCACGCTCCTGCCGGCTCATGTTCATTTTCTCATCGACCAGCACCCCCAAGTGCTTCTCCGCAGGGCTGCTCTGAATCTCTGAAGAATCTCTTGAGAAGCCCCTCAACTTTTTCATTTTCAGTTCATTTGAGACTGAGCCATCAGGCAGGTCTTAGGCTTTGGTCTCCCTCTGCTCTTCTGTCAGTTCAACACCAAAGGTCAAGCCTGCAAGGTTTCACTATAGCAAGATCTGACCCAGTGCACGGTGGTGCATGCATCTCTGCAGGGTGCAGTCAGGTACAGCTGCCTGCTCCAGCACAACCCAGCGGCCCTCAAGGCAATGCACCTGGGAGGGCTACCGCATGCCCTGGGATCCCATCTCCACTCACTGCCTCCTCTGCAGTGATCCCCAGTGATCCCTGGCTACGTGGCACAGGCAGGAACTTCTGCAGACAAAAATCTCACTCGTTTCACTGTTCCTGCAGAGAAAACATGGCTTTTTTTTTTTTTTTTTGTGCAAACAGTCCCTGCCTTGCCACCATGCTGCCCAATCCCCTGTGCTTGCAGCCACCCACTGCAGACCTCGGCTTGCGTGCAGCATACCAAGGGAGGGCAAGGGAAGCTCCCCAGTCAGCCTAAAAGGCAGCTGCCAGCAAAACAAGCAAAGAGGCTCATGCTGTGTTAACCCGCTCAGCTTTAATACAGGATAATAAACAGCTACATTCATCTAGCCCTAATAGTGAAATATTATGCTATATAAATAATGTGACCTCTTATTTAGAGACAGTTGGCCTGAAGTATAGTCTGACCTGAGCAGTTCAGAGATTGTACAATCACTTTAATCTATTAAATGAAGCTGAAACAGACTGGAACTGCTGTGTGCTTAAAGCTGTATAGGGGGAAATGGCTGAAATTTTAAGGTACTTTTTTCTTTTAGCTTTGCACTCAGTTCCATAGTTTGAAGTGTTGCCCATCCTGCACTCACATACCGCTGGGGAGGGTTGTTAAAGGAGGGGGTCTGCATGACACCACCTCTGCTGTCAAACTGAACATGAAGTTCTGTTTGAGGGCTCCTTCGGCTGACTCAGCAGGACACAAAAATGCTCTTGAATAGGAGTTGAATTGTATAAACACCCAATCACAGCAGCAGTTCTCCTTTAGCAGTGTTGTTAACTAATATGCACTACAAGAAATTTAATGGCACTCCAGATACTGGCTGGAATTGAAAGAGGTTTTTGCTTTCCTCCTTACATAATTTTAGTATGTCTTACAGGCAGGAAGGCTACTGAGAACTGAGGAATACCCCAGAGACCCGATGTATAGGAGCCAGGCCACAGGCTCTTCCTCTCAAATCTCAATGACTTTGGTATGAAATGCACCAGAGATTTTCACATTTTAGTGTCTGAATATCAGGCTTGGTTTGGAAATACAACTTGCTGCACAGAAACAGACATGTAGTTGCTCTGAATGGTGATCTCCTTAAGATGCCCAAGTACAAAGCTGGATGCTCAGATTTAAAGATCTAAACCTGAAACCTTTGGCCTACCGGTTCCCAGGAGTGCTGTGTCCCCAGCATTTAGTGACAACATTTCCATACCTCCAAGTGTATAAATCTGTATAAATAATCTGCTGTGTTGTAAGACTCACGAATGGATACTGCTTACCTGCAGCTTTGCCAGTGCTGCCCTCACTAGCAGCAAGATGCTCCATCTCTGGTGGTGTTCAAGGCCAGGCTGGACAGAGCCTTGGGTGACATGGTTTAGTGGGAAGTGTCCCTGCCCATGGCAGGGGGATTGCAACTAGATGATCTTAAGGTCCTTTCCAACCCTAACTATTCTATGATTCTATATACTCATAGCAAAAAAAATGGATTCTTCATAGCCAGCCACCTCCATCACTGTGCTGCACAAAGCCTGCCCTTGGGAAACCGAGGAGACCATTTTGTCCTGGAAGGAAAATCTGCAGTCAACAGAAGAACCAAGATTTGTACCAAATTCACATGCAAGCCTGTGACTCCTATTGAGAAATGGGTGTCGTACAAAACCCATCTGTTGATTCATGTGAAGAAAACACCTCTGCCCAGTGATTCTGCCAAGGAAAGCCTGTAGGGGTTCTCCTGGAGACATTCCCTTGTGTCTCCAGTTGAGGTGAGATTAGTGCAGACTGCAGGGTGAGCTGGTACAGGCGCTGTGGCCAAGTGTGCTGTAGCCACTTGCTGTGGGTTGTGTTCTCTCTTACCCCCTCCATGCTGCTGGACCAGTGCAGATTTTGAAGCAGAGACTCCTGTATCTTGTTTGTAAAATGGCAGTGTGCTCCCTGCCTCTTACTTAGGTAAGAAAGACAGCATAGAGGATCTCTCTTGTTTTTTGCAGGCCACAGTGCGGTGCCAGACTGTCTTGGGTAGACATTTTCAGGGAGTACCGGGGTGTGCATAATGCTGATTTTGCACAGGAGGGGAACTGGGTCGTTCACTTGTCTGTGAGAATCAATTCAAGCCATACATCTATTTTGTAAACCAGTACAGAGGTGGGCCCTGACCCAGCAAGGTGAATTAGCAGGTGCCTAAATGCAGCCCCAAGATACTTTGGAAACTTGGAATGTGGCGGAGCACGCTGCAGGATTGTGCCCAAGATGCTCCCATGGTGGGACATGGGACACAGCTAGATCCACCAGTCCTTATTGACATGGATATACTCCCAGAGCTATTGCCTGCCTTCTGTGAAGGCAAGGCATGTAAATAAATGAGCACATGCACAGAAGCAAGTGAAGGTGTGAGGTTGTAAAAGAGTCTGAAGGAGAGATGTGAAGCACTGCTTTGGTTTTGTCTCCCGGTGCCAAGGACACAAAAATGAGGTAGGAAAAGTTTATCACTGCCCATGTGTTCCTTTAAGTTCCAACTGGGATGAGGCCTGGTACAGTAAACACAAATTGTTATTATGCTATAAGTTGATAAAGCTTCCTCCATTTAGTATGAATATATATATGTGTGCACGCATATAGTAGCTGGTTCTCAACGGCATCGTGTTCGCCGTGTTCACGTGGCATGAACTGCATTTGTACAGTCTTGTGTCCTCCGGTTGCTGCCCCGTCCATCAAGCGGCACCCCCACGGGCGCGGTTGTTCTCCCTCTTCCTCTTCCTCACTCGCCGGCGGCGCCAGAGACCCCGCGGCCCGGAGGCTCCGGCCGCCCCCTTTCAGCCCCAAACCCTCAGGGCCCGGGATGCCGGGCAGGGAGAGGCGAGGCACCGGTCGCCCGTCCGCCGGAGCAGCTTAAGGTGCCGGAGCAGCTTAAGGTGCCGCCGCCCGCTCCCGCGGTCCACCTTAACGCGGCGGCGGCGGCGGACGGGCCCATTGCTGCACCGGGGGTCGGTGGGCCCCGTTCCCCCGGGAGCCGCGCCGCCGCCCCGCGCCCGCCGGAGAGCGGCGTGTAAATGAGTCCAAAGTGAGAAACACGCCGCTTGTCACCGAGCCGCAGGTGATGGCGGGTCCCCACCGCTGAGAAACCCCCTCCTGCGGCACCCGGGCCGGCCCCCGGCGGCGGGGCCGGGCTATTTATAGCAGCCGCCGCGGCGATATAAGGGGTGGCCGGCTGCAGGCTCCCCGGCCGCGGCCGCCGGGGCGGGCGGGAGGTGGCTGGCGGCGCTGCCCAACCGCGGGCGCCTCTGGGCGGGCGCTGAGAGCGCGGGCCCGGGTGAGCGGGGCTTCAGAGACAGGGGGTGGAGGGTCGGCGTTGGGTGGCGCTTTTAGTAGCGGGGGGAAAGACCAACCCAGTAAATCGCAGCTCGTTTTGTTTGTGTCCGCGACAAGCGAGGGGGTGCGGGATGGCGCCGCGAGGAGTGCCGGCGCTCCACGCGTGAAAAGCCCGCGGGCGGGGTGCTCTCGCCGTGACACCCTGGGATAACTGCTTCGGGGCTCTCCCCGCTCTCCCTTCTTCTTCCCCCAGCGACTCCGGCAGCAGCGCGGTGCCCCGCTCTGGCATGAGCCCCCCCCGCGCCGGGAGGAGCGCTCCCCGGGCACCGCCGCCTCCCCTGGCCGGGGATCCGGGTCGGGAAGAACGGGCTGTCGCCGACTGACCCCGCGGAGCCACCGCGAACAGCAACGCCAGGCGCAGAAGGACTTGGGACGGTACGGTGGTTGCGTGCGCGGCGGCGAATTTGGTGTCCTGGGGGTCTCTTCCCTTCCTTGCTGAACGCTTGAAAAATGGTCCAAAACCACTTTATAAAGCTGTGGCTGGACCGCTGTGGGTTTCATGTCGTGTGCTGGCTGGGTGGTGGCGAGAGGGGTTACTCTGTGCAATGAGGGACCTTTGTAAATTGGGGACTTGGTTTTTTTTGTTGTGTGTACCCCCCCCCCCCAGCAGAGTCAGAGCCACGCTAATGTTTTACTTTCCTACCCCTTGTGTGCTCTGACCTGTGTGTTGCAAGTTTTCTTATCTTCCATTAAAACCGTTCTTCTTGGACCACTAAGTACTTTGTGAAAGCTTCCAGATCCATGTGTTTATTTGCTAGACTTCTAGAAGAAAGATACAGATGCTGTCTTTAACTGCAAAGAAACAAGGAGGGGAGGACATACTCCTTTTTTTCTTTTTTTTTTTCTGTTTTTTTTTCTCTTTTTTTTTTCTGTTTTTACTTTTCTCTGCTTTGAGAAAATTAAGTAAACCACAGTTGAAGGACAAGCACTCTTCAGCTGTTGTGCTTGGGAGTGCTGGGGATTAGAAAGAAAACTTGTAACTTTTGTTTTGTTTTTAAAACGGCCCAGAAACAGTGTTTAGAAAATTCTGATTCCCAGACAGAGAGACTTAAGATAAAGCCACGCTGGCTGCAAGTTGAGGAGCAAGTTACGAATTAGACCTTCGGTGGACCAGTGTCAGAATCCTGTGTTTGGCTGCTCTAGAAACGCTCCCTGATGAACTGATCACTTCATCCAAGAAACAGGCACTTTACACCATGGCAAGTCAGAGTAGAAAAGCGCCTGGCAGAGTCCTGACCCTTGTGTGAGACTCTTCCCCAGCACAAGTAGCTGCAGCTCTACTGCACCCATCAGCTGGCAGTTTCTACATCAGTTGCCTAATCTTAGGAAAGTGTGAAAACCGAAGCCCCCAACTTCCTTGGTATCTTAATTCACCTAAGTTTGGATTTAGGTGGCAGGCTTAAAGGGATGTTACTGACTGGAAACATCCTATTTATGTCTTATCTGGAGACTGTTTATACTTTAGTTGGTACTAAGAGCAAGCACACCAACTTTATAGTCATACCTAGATGTAGAGGTGCTTTCTGAATTTTCACTATGAAATTATTCAATTAGCTTGGGCCCTTTCTGCACATGAGAGATGCATTTCAAAGGCCTAAAATTGCATGGGTTGTCTCTTGATACCTTTCTTTGTGAAAGGTGCCTATCTGTTGCTCTGAATCCATTACCGTTATGGGCATTACAAAAATGAGGTCCATTAATTCAAGAGAAACTAGGAGAACAAGGATGTGACAAGGCAATTATAAAGTAATAGTATTAAAAAATCCCACTTCTCGTTAGCATTGCTTTGGACTGCTTGAGATAGGATTTTCTATGTACTTAATGTCTGAAAACATAAAGCTGACAGCATCCTTTAAAACTGCATAAGGTGCACATAGAAAGATTCGTGGCTTTCATGTTACAGTTCTGCATCAGTTTGTTTGATTTCTTGATTTTGTTCCTCCATTCCAGGAGATATTTCATAGGATAGAGTTTGTAGCCCAGATTGCAGAGGGCCAAGCTCCCCACCAGCATGACTCCTGAACCAGAGCAGCTGCACCAGGGTCAGAGCTGGCCCAGCATCTAATTACAGAAATTATGTGAAAGGCAGTTTTATTTATGAAGTCTTTGGTGGGTGTTTTCACAAGCTTGAAATTTTTTCGCATTGTAACTAAAAATTACAGAAACAAAGCCTGACCTCTTCATGGGGGGAGGTTTTGGTATGGGTTGCATTGGGTGTTGTGTTGTTTTTTTCTTAAATGGACTGAAGCTAACAAAAGGGAGGAATAAAACTGTATCATCTGGTGGTTAAACAGGATGTCTTTCTTTATCCCCACACACTTTTTGGCAGTAGAGAAGACATGGCATCTGGGGACTGAAAGGAGGAGGATGAGTCCTGTATGTGAGCTGGTGTTGTCATTGGCAAAGTATTACATGAGGGCAATGTAAGGACAAGTGAATGAATGTGATGAATCATTATAATTGACATCATGCTGTGGTTCCTTAGAGCTCCTCTTTAACTGCTGACAGAAACAGTGTCCTGTACCCAAGACCTGCATGGCCCTTTAGCTTGAACCACATACTGCTGGTGGTGTTTCACTCTTGAGACCATCAGGGCAGAAACTCTGCTCTCTTCTGATCTTAATTCTGGATGGCACCTTGGGGAAAGCTGTTTGGCTTAATTTCTTCCCTTTTTATCTGCCCTCTTCGGTGTGAAGTATTTTCTGTGGCTCGATGCAAGTCAAAAGCCTCTACATACCTCCTGCAGTTGTCAAGCTGGGCATCCCTGCTGACCCGTTGGCTACCTGCAAGTCAATTCATCAGGATGGATCAGTCTCCCCAATGTTAGCATAAATCCCCAGGAATGAAGAGGAGAGTGGTTTTGCATGGTGGCAATGTTTGCATAAGCTTTTACTGTCATAAATAAGTAGATCAGGGTTAGATTTAATATGGAAAGCATGGAATTAATTTTCATGACTTCCAAGACAATATTAAAGACAGGGCTGAGGAAGAGAACTGGTGTTAAAAAGATATGGAAATGTGCCTTGAAAGTGACCTTTCCAAGATCAACAATATTATTGTTGGTGTCTGAGGCACCACAGCTTAATGAAGTATAAAGCAGAAAGGGTTGGGAGGATTTGGTCCAAGTGAAAACAGAATGAGCGTGGGACTAGCAGATGGGAGGAATGGTTAGCCCCCTCTTTGGCGGAGTTATGGCTGCTTTCTTCTGTTGTTATTGCCTACAGAAGGACTTGAAGATACTTAGTGGGGAGGGGAGTACAGCCTTCCTGTTCTACTTGAATGTCATTTGGCTGTATTTTTATCCATAGGGAAACAAAGGTCCAGTGCCCCAGTGGGTCACATCCGGAGTGTTTGTATCCAATATAAATCTAGAGCAAGTCCATCAATTTCAATAACATCTGCAATAAGCCACAAATGGCTCTTTCTGAACAGAGAGGTGAAATGAACAGCTGTAACTTCAGAGGCTGGATTTTTTGGCAAACTCTTTTTTGAGATTTACAACTCTCTTATTCTCCATTTGAGAGTGTAGTGGAGCAATTGCTGAGCCATCCATGCATGTGTATGTGAACAAATGTCAGTGGAGGAGTAATACAAATGGAAGTCTTGCATATAGATATGGCAAACTGGGCACCTGTTCTTAGCTAATGAAAGATACAAAAATGTCTCCTGAAATAATGATTGAGGGAAGGGGGGGGGGCAGTTTAATGATGTTTTAAAGTAGTCTTCTGTACTTACAGTTCTTATTACTGGCTTTCCTGCTATTTTATACTGCTTCAGACGCTAGTTCTTCAGTGAGTGCTGCACAGACCTATAGGTTTCATCAGAGCAACCACTCCAGTGGCTGGAGCTAGGTGAAGAGATGGGAAAGCTGTCTCCAGGTACCTTCTCTGACATGCACTGCCTAAAGACAGACAGGCAGGCAGGCAGGCCGGCCAAGGTCAGCAACTCTTACAGATACCCATAACTGTGACTCTGCATCTCATTGAGCCTCCTTTTCTTCTTTCTAAAATAGGATAGTGGAAGTTTCTTCTTTGTGGGGTGTGTTGGGAGCATAAATACAGGAAATGCAGAGATACTTCAAAGGGATCTAAGTATCTGAGATACTCTGGGGCTGGATTTTGTCTTCCTGCTGCTTCTCTTCTGGCCAGAATTTGTTTGTCATCGATGGGTTTGAGCTTGAACTACTTTCTTGTACTTTCTTCTACTGCTGCTAAAGAGCTGCTTGGAAAGAGTGCTGACACCCCAGCTTTTCCCAGACAACATAATGCCTGTTGTTCTTTCTCTTTCAGAAGATCTGCTTCTAGAGAGAGTGTTGTACCAAATATAAGTTTATGTAATGTGCTAGAATTGTTTTATTCTTCATCCCTTTCAGCTTTCTGCTATTTAAGCCGCCTTTGTTGCTGAAAATTCCATAGTTTCTTACAAAGCCTCTTCTTTTGAATGTCCGTGGAGTTGTATTAACTTGCTAAACCTACCTGAAGTGGGTGCTTGATTTCATGGAAGGAAAAAGTCTTAAGTATTTTCCCAAAGGTGGGAAAAATGCCCCCAAATGGTTTGCTGATCTATGATGGTTTGCTCTCTCTGATTATTGACAACTCTTGACTGCATCTGCCTAGTTCTTGGCCTAGAGAAGAGTGTCACTGAGGACTTCCTGGAGACTATTTTGCATCTGAATGGTGATTTGTAATGGTGAAACATGGAGGGCCAGGCTCTTGGCTTATGTAGCAACTGGTGTTAGTCTGCTGAAGATCAAGCAGCTGCTCAAAGTTTCCATCATCTCCAGTGAAATCAACTAAAACTGCATCAGCTTGGAGCCGGTTTACAATAAACCTGTTCTCTGGGCTGTGGGTTAACCTCACTAAATATCTCCTGAGGTCAGATCTGCTACTCTTGTATGTGAAAATAAGTGTTGGTGTGCTTTCTGATCTGCTGGAGTGTAAATAAAGCAAGGTCTTTCACTTACAGGTTCACTCATCAGCATATATTAGTAATGCTCATCAGCTTTTGACTGGAACTTTGATGGCGTAATTACTCTAAAAGGCTAACATATTCAAAACTACCTGTGTGACTTTGGGACTTAGATTCCTAAGAGTCTTAGTCATCATTTTAAACAGTAATCAGCTTTTTAAGCCACACATACTCCTGGAAGCTTTAAGAACAGGCTTCTGTTATCATGTCTTTAAAATGACAATTTCTGGGATGAGGATGGCAGATCTGCCACTCCACTCATATCAGATATTAAATAAGGAGGTTGACGAAACAATTTGAAAAATACTGTGGAAAACAGATTCTCTCGACTAGAGAGGTGCAAGACTTCAGCCACCTGACAGCAGGGTGGATGGGAGCATGTATTTTCAGCTATGTCTTTAGGACAG